TGCTCAGCGACACTCTCGACGTCTCCGACGAGGCCATCGAGCGCTTGATGATGGCACAACCCGTGCCTCATCAGCAGGATAAGAAGCGCGTCAAGGTCTATGAGCTGCGCAACAATGACTGGTTCGACCGAGGCACCGGCTTCTGCACCGCCTGCTTCGTCACGGTATGTTGTGCTGTTCCCCGCATGGTGTAGATGTACATACATGGTCCGCTGATGACTCGACCGCCATCTCCAGATCCAGGACGACCACAAGGAACCCCGCGTAATCGTCCAGTCAGAAGACCAGCCAGACAGGCTACTACTCGAAACAAAGATAGTCAAGGATGATGGTTTCCAGAAACAGCAGGGCATGTCATTCCACCGTTGCGAGCTCCGAAAGTTAACTTTCTAACTTCCGCCACAGACACCCTCATTGTATGGACCGACAATGGCGTTGATATGGCGCTCTCCTTCCAGGAGGCCGATGGGTGCCAGGCAATATGGTTTGTGTAAACCTTTACGCAGGACAGCGTTGTCGCAGAGCGCTAACATAGTGTTCCTTGCAGGAAATTTATCGACAGCGTCCAACAACAATTCCAGGCCGCCATGGGAGGTCCAGGTAGGAGCCACATGATTTTATCCAGGGGAATGCCTGCTGACTGGCCGTGTAACAGATGATGGCCTCTCCGACGACTTGGCGATGGATATGCCCGCCGCCATCCAGCTCCCGCCAGCAGAGTTGGGGGCGCTGATCGATATAGAAAACACACTGCGAAATCTTTCGCAATCGCCCTCCGGCCGCGATGCCCTCGCCAAAGCAATAATGAGCGAAGATTATATCGCTAAACTTATCCCACTAGTAGAAATGGCCGAGGACCTAGAGAGCTTGGGGGACCTGCATCATCTTTGCAATATTATGAAGACTGTGGTATTGCTGAACGATACCGGGCTCATCGAACATGCCGTGTCTGACGAATGTGTCTTGGGGGTTGTGGGCGCAATGGAATACGATCCCGACTTTCCGACACACAAGGCGAATCACCGGCAATGGTTGAACAATCAGGGCCGATACAAGGAGGTGGTGCGGATCCAGGACGACCAAGTGCGACGCAAGATCCATCAGACATACCGACTGCAGTACTTGAAGGACGTTGTGCTTGCTAGGATCTTGGACGACCCTACCTTTTCGGTTCTCAACTCGCTCATCTTCTTCAACCAGGTCGAGATTGTACAACATCTTCACATGACACCTGGTTTCATGACAGATCTCTTTGCTGTGTTTGTTGATCCAAATGAGCAGCCGCTGCGCAAGAAGGAGGCGGTCCTGTTCATTCAGCAAATGTGCGCCATCTCGAAGAACCTTCAGCCGCCTGCTCGCCAAGGGCTCTATGGAAACTTCCTCCAGCAAGGGCTTCTCCCTGTCATCAACTTTGGGCTTAGGCATCCTGACGTGTCGGTCCGAGTTGGTGCCACAGACATCCTCGGCTCCATTCTTGAGTTTGACCCTTCCATGATCCGAAAGACCATCTATGAGCAAATCCAAAGGAAAACACCGCCCCTGACTGACAGCTTGATCGATCTTCTACTGGTCGAAGTCGACTTGGGAATCAAATCACAGCTTACCGAGTCACTCAAGGTTCTGCTGGACCCGACTGGACCCGGTGGCCCCCAACCGGACAACAGGGACGGATTCAAGGGGAGGCAACCTGGGGGCCCCGATCCCAATCCCCAACACCAACTCTTTCTACAACACTTTTACGAACATGCTGCTCACAAGCTCTTCAAGCCGCTACTTGACCTCGAGAAGCGACCCAATATGAAGTTTAATGCTCTCGAAGATGGCATCTTCGGCTATCTGAATGAGATTCTGTGCTTTTACATCCGACATCACGGCGGCCTCAGCAAGCTTTTCGTCCTGCGAAACAACATTGCCAAGCGGTTTGGTCAGCTTCTTACCTGCAAACAAAAGCATCTCCAGCTAGGTATGGTCGGTCTCTGGCCCGTGAAGTATGGTTTCCGCTAACCCTTTTTTCCAGTTGCGATTCGCTTTTTCCGTCATTTGGTGTTATTCCGTGACCCCTACTACATCAAAGACCTGCAGGATAGCCGAGTATTCGGCCCGGTATTAGACACCCTTTTGCGAACCCTGCCAAGAGACAACCTTTTGTCCTCTGCCTGCCTGGACTTCTTCACGTCGATCAACTACGAGGGCGACCGTGACCTGGCCAAGCACATCATGGAGAACTACCGCGAAAAGATTGTCGCGCTTTCGCACATTGACTACTTCCGGGGCATGTTGATGAGATACGACCAGTCTCAAGGCTACACGATCAGTGAGCCGGACGAGGAGGAGGAGCAGCAGATGGTGAGACGAACCGCACATAATGCCGCCGGCAGAGGAATGATGGAGCATCTCACAGTGGACCAGGCGCAGGAGGAGTATTGGAACACGTCGGACGACGACGAAGAGAATCATCATCACCACCACCACCACCACCACCACCACCCGGCCGCCGGGCACCTTGCATCGAACGGAACGCCGTCGAAACCGCTTGTGGAGTACACCTCGGACGAGGAAGAAGATGGGAGCGGGGATGCGGTGATGACAACACCGGTAGATGACGAAGCAGCGAAGGAAAACCAGAAGCCGCCACCAAGTACACCGCCCGCTGTGGTAGTAACGGGGGGTCCGCCGCCGGAGCGGTTATCGGAGAAGCGACGACGGGAAGAAGACGAGGACGACGACGCGCTGGATAAGTTATTGGTGCATAAGCGGAGAAACAGTAGTAGTGCGGGGAGTAACTCGACGCTGTCGGCGGGGTTGCTAAGGAAGAAACAGCAGGGTTTTGGGAGTGGTGGAGGGGGGAAGTCGAGGAGCAGGGAGGGGAGTCCTAGTCCGAATGGAGCGGGACAGAAGAAGATTGCGATTAGTATTGCCCCGGTGCTGAAGACGTCGGTGGTTAAGGGGTTGAGTCCGGAAGGGGTGGAGGAGGAGGCGGCAGGAGCAGCAGCAGGGAAGTAAGGGGGGTTTCTGCTGGTTTGCGGGTGTGTTGGTGGATGGAGGAGGGGGAGGGGTGGGAAGGGTGATGGGGGAAGGCGGGGATGATTAATTAGCATGCGGCTGGTTTTTTTTTCTTCTGGTGGTGAAAGAAATACATTTGATGTGGTTTGGTTGATTCTGGTTTTCTTGAGTGCGCTGGGTTTTTTGAGGGACCCTGTGCATGGGGTTTTATGGGGCGTTTTTTTGTTTTTTTGTTGGAGGGGATGGGGGGAATAGGGTAGGGAAAGGGGGGTGGAGGATGGAGGGTTTGGGTTGGGGTGGAGGATTTTTTTTTTTTTTTCTGTTTCTTTTGCTTCAGCGGTTCTGTATCAGCGCTGAGTTTTTTTTTTAGTTTTTTTTTTTTTTTGAAAAGTAAAGAATTATTTAAGGACTATGCTTGGGGATGGGGAAGGGTTAGGGAGAGGGAAGGGGAGTGGGTGTGGACGTGTATGTATAAATACCTATTTACCTAGGTAGTCAGCTTCTGCCTGCAGCGAGGTGAGGTGGGCGAAGAGGGAATTGAGGAGACTTTATAAATCATGGTGTGCTGCCAGTGTGCTGCCAGTGATGGTTTGGTATGTTGTGTGGGTGGAAGTAAAGGGTGTTTTGAAGGCTGGAGAGCTTAGAAGATCGTTGGTGAGGATCAAGAGATAAGGTAGTGAGGGAGGTGTTTGAAGATGCTTAAGATGAGTAGTGAAGACCTCTTTTTTTTTTTTTTTTCTTGGGAAAGGTAGGGTAACCCAAGTTGTGGAAGAGATCTGAATAGGCTCTTTGAGAGAGATAGGTATGACTCAGTATATGAAAGTCTAGGTAAATGCATTTGAAGACATTTAATGGGACTTTAGAAGATACCTAGCTACCATGCCTTGGAGATCTATCGAGAGGCATCTTTCTGTGTCTTGTGTAACAGTTTCTCTTTCGTTGTGGGTGTGTTTGCGTGTTTGGTAGGTTTATGTGAGTTGTTGATGACGGTTGGGTAGGTAAGCAATACCTTTATAACTTTTGGTGAGTTGACCTCGGGGGGAATAGGGGTCACTCAAGACATCATCTTGATTTTCTGAATTTATGGTAGATTTGCTGATACCCCACGGCTATGGAGAAGATGTTTCAGGATTTGGTATCTACGGCGGTGGGGAAGTACGATCATTGGCTGTGTAGAGTGCTGCAAGCAAAATATGATGGTTGATGTCCTGATGATTTAACGAGCTGGTGTGAAGTACGTTCCTAGGCCGGTGGATAAGAATGCAAATGGTTATCTGGGAAGCTTGTTGATAGGATCTATGACACTTTGTTGTCTTAGGGGGATGTTATGTTCTTTCGTCTCTGGAAGGTCGGGCTGTGAGCACTTAAGTTGTCTGGTATCTTGTGTATACATTGACGTGTTAAGGAGATTACGCACGTCTTCAGAGATGGGGGCATTCGTTTTGGGCTACGACATTGTTGTATCTTCTGTTAACGTGGTAAAGAGGTTGGATCTCTGATTGAGCTACTAGCAGACATGTTCAAATTTGTCTTCATTTTCTCATAAGCTTAACTCCTGCCTTTTCCAGGTCGGCTTTCTGGCTTGTTGCTGTGCTGTACTGCAAGGTCTTACCGTCGAGTTACTTGTCATGTTGGTGTTGGTGCTGTAGGTCGGTATGGTGCCCAGGTTGAAGTCCAGACTGGTATAATACTCAGAGTAAATAGACAACATACCATCACGGCCAAGAATTATACGAAGCCGATCCCATCTCCTATCTATTCTCCTCTGTAGACACAACTACCAAATCCATCCAAAGTCCCAACCCTCCCACTCCCCTCCCCAGACTTCCACCTCCGAAACCCCATCACCAACCCCCCCAATCTCCCGCACCTTCCCCCCCTCCCCTTATCGGCCGTACCGCCTTATCGCCGCCTGCAAACCGTCGTTCCTTCCTCCCCAGGCGCCAGTGGTCTATAGCGGTCGTGCGCGGACCCTGTCATAATAACAAATAGAAACAGGACGCATGGTCCAGTGGTCCAAGACAACTCATGGTCTGTTAAATGTTCTCTGCGTAGTTCTAGGTCAGTTGGGTCTTTGTTGTACTGCTACGGTCGTGCTGCGATGATTTCCTTGGCTTCAGGTTCTATGTAAGAGTCATTGACTAGTGTGATGTAGACCCAGGTTCGACTCCTGGTGTGTCCATTTTTTGCCTCTTGTCACATTTCAGATAGGATGGAATTCTTTTCATGAAGGGGGAGTGGTGGTGGTGGTGGTGGAGGAGGAGGAAGGGGAGAGGGGGGGTGCATGGGGGTTGGACAGAGGTTGGACACGAGGTACCTTTGTGACTGTGTTGGGAGGAGTTGTAGGGCAGGACGTCCGTGTTCGATTCCGCGCGTCGGCGTTTTTTGAACGTTTATTTCTGGTTTGGGGGAGGTGGGTTTGGTTGGGGAGTGGGAGAGGGACATGGAGGATGGGGGTTTGGTTATTTACATGGGCAGGCTTTTGACTACTATCGTTCTGGAGTGTTTTATCGCGTAGAGAAGCCGTGAGGCCCGTCTTACTGTTGTTCTTACTGTAGACATCGAGAGGGTGGTGAGGTGTGAGGTCAAGTAGGGGACGAGACGAGTCGATGGGTTCGAAACTTGGTGTATCCGTTTTTTATTATTTGCCTCTGGCACTCTTACTGTTTCTTGCACACGCTTGCTGAGTCGGTATTGCTTATCCGTGATAGGAGGATCGCGAATCGGATGATGTTGTCTTTACTCCACGACTTCTCGGCAGGAGACTCACTTCGACTCTGTTTACTGCCCACCAATCCCTTCCACCCTTCAGTCTTTTGAATTCTCTCACTTTCACTGAGAAATCTACAGACGGCATGTCCCTGTTTACTTAACTTAAAGACGCGATCTTGGTCTTTAAGTAGGTAGTCTTTCACCAACACCAGTCCTCAGCATATTTTCCTAATACACCGGCAACCCACCAACAAACAACAACTCTCTCTCTCTCTCTCTCTCCGTACTTTCCACACTCGTCTCCAGCTGCCGACCACTTGCTCGCATCATCACACACTTCAGACAAACACGATACCAAACATATAGCCCCCAAGTCTTCACCAGTTATCAACAGACAAGAACAAAACCCAGGTTGCACATGGTCTAGTGGTCAAAGACACCTCAAGTGCACAAATGTTCATATACAATCCTACAATCGAAGACGGTAGCTCGCTGGCCTACCTCGATCGACTGCCAGGCGAGTGTTGGTATATTTGTACTCCGTGAGGAGATTCCCAGGTTCGGATTCTGGTGCATCCATTTTGACTCTTTCTTCCCATTCTTTCTGGTTTTGTCAACGGAATGCTTTTGTTTTACGATAGAGAATAAAGTTGCATGATGTTTTTGGAGATGTGGCTTGTGGAGTTGCTCTTTTAGTTGTTGTGCTTGGTATGCTTGCTCTTATAATAAAAGGTCGTATGAGTGCTGTGTACCTAACGAGTTGTAAATGCCTTCAGATGTTGGTGTAAGTGATTTTAATGTTGGCGTTGTGCTCTTGATGTTGATGCTCTCGGTAGTAGTGAGTGATCTGAATTCAGTTGCTACTGATTCGGCATTTGTTCGTGTGGTTGCTCTTGATCAGTCGCTCTCTTACTTCTTGGTCAAAGACGTAAGATCGTTTCTCATCCTCTCCGGAATCTACGCCCTCAAGTATGTCTTTTCAGTAAGTTGGCCCGTTAAGTTTGGTGAGAGTATCACAGCATGCAACCCCGAAGATCTTGTCCACGGCCTCTAATTCAATGTGCAGCCACTGAGCAAGCCTCTCATGATGCCATGTCTCGTCACCGCCACAAAGGACAAATGTTTGCTTTATTTCTGTAGTTTCGTTTAATGCATGCTTTCGCAGATTCTTTACTGCATTTACTTTCGCCTGAGGGTATCCATCTATCATCCATTTCCATCTTTCCCCCCGGTATCTTCCTGCCCGAACCTTTTTTTCTCCAAGCCTTTCCCATATGTACAATCCCCAACCAATCTTTTGGTACCTTCTGTATTTTTGACCCTCCGTCCAGCCCACTGCTTCCCGCAATAATAATAACTAACCATTTGTGATCCTTCAATGCGTATCACCTCCCCTCCCCATCCCTCCTCACCTCCACCTTCACCGGCGTAGCTTCCTTATGAAAACCCAACCACTCCCCCAGTATCCCCCCTGGTTTTGGCACCGGACATTCCCTCTCCGCCTTCCTTTCCCTTTCCCTCCTTTCCCGCCTCTCTCTCCTCAGCTTCTGAAGTTCTTCCTGTTGCTCTGGTGTGGTGGCAACCACAGTATCGAACCTCGCTACCCCATCCTCCCCTACAATCTCCCTCTGCTGTCTCCTCCTCCTCTTGGAATTAGGATCAAGCTCCCCGTCGGCGAGCGTCTTTCGTGGGGCTGGGCATGGGAGGACATGTGGGAGGGCTACCACGAAGAAGGAGGCTACTAGGGTTGTTGCGAAGAGGGTTGATGTTGAGCGGGAACGGGGGTGGAGGTGGGGGGGCGGCATTGTTATATCGGTCCCAAGTAAGACGGGGAAGGGTTGTGATGGAGGGGGGGGGGGTATGGAAAGGCTGAGGGGAATGTTAGCTTTAGGTTTTGTATAGCCTGGAATGGGGGAGGACATACCAATTGGTTTGTTAAAGACCAAGTTAAAACATGACTCCCGTTCCAGAAAACACTTGAGAGAGTCGGAGGGTCGGGACACCGGAACGGGGGGGAGCTCTACTTCGAGATGCCTTGGGAATTGTGGATTGATAGCTAGCCCACTTCCATCACCAAATAGCCCCACAATTCCCGAGCCGATGCCCCGAGCTCCCGTCCTTCCTGTCAGGCGCGCGTCACTTTTTTATTTTTTTTGGTAACGCGGCGGTAGACGCACGGACCACATATTAGTTGATTGAATCTTGGCTACCAAGTGGCTACCTACCTGCCGCCGCCTCTTCACTTTTGCGAAAAACATATCCTACGAGCAGCTTGTTGAGAAAAAGAGAAAGCATTTTTTCCATCTGATATTGACTTTTTAGCAAGCCTTATCGTCATCGTTAAAGAGAAATTGCAATCTTTGAACCGGGAAGCGGCGCGCAGCGCAAAATACAATACCTTACCGAAGAGGAACTACAAGGTTTATTTTATTGATTATCGATTATCGATTATTATCCACGCCCACATCGATCGCGAACAGACAACACCTCCCCCCCCGAGCTCCTGAAGCAAATACTACACCGCACACACTCAAAATGAGCGACCTCGACAGGTAAGTAACATGCGCGCGACTATATGTTGTGCTTGTTATGGGAGTCTGACCGTTTAACAGAGCAATCGCTCAACTGCGAGCCTGCCGCCCCATCCCAGAAAACGAAGTCCGCGAGCTCTGCCACAAGGCCAGAGAACTGCTGATCGAGGAGGGAAACGTCGTTACCGTCAACGCGCCCGTAACAGTAAGCTCCCCCTCTCCTCTCTAAACTCCCACCACCACCACCACCGTCTCTTAACAGTTCCCTTTTGCCTCCAGATATGCGGCGACATCCACGGCCAATTCCACGACCTAATGGAGCTCTTCCGCGTCGGCGGCGACCCCCCGGACACAAACTACCTCTTCATGGGCGACTTTGTCGACCGCGGCTTCTACTCCCTCGAGTCCTTCCTCCTCCTGCTCTGCCTCAAAGTCCGCTACCCCGACCGCATGACCCTCATCCGCGGCAACCACGAGTCCCGCCAGATCACCACCGTCTACGGCTTCTACGACGAGTGCCTGCGGAAATACGGCAGCGCAAACGTGTGGAGGTACTGCTGCGACGTGTTTGACTACCTGGCGCTGGGCGCCATCGTGCTGGGGGCGAGCAACACGCTCTCGCAGCCCGAGGGGAGTCAGCCGGGGGGTCAAGATGTCGAGATTGAGGTTTGCAATGCGGACCAGCAGATTATTTCGAGGTTTTTGAGAAAGGGGAGTAATGGTGGGGGGAGTGCAGGAGGGAGTCAAGCCGGTGGGAGTCCGGAGGGGACGGGGAGGGGGGAGGGGAGTCCGAATGGTGCGGGGGAGGGCAGGCCGACGACGAATGGGTTTGGGGAAGGGGATGGGCCGCCGGCGCCGTCGAATACGGGGCCACCGGGGAGTGGCGCGTCAGGGGCGAGTGGAGGGAGTCTTGGGAATCCGGCGGGGGCGGTGTTGTGTGTTCATGGCGGTCTCAGTCCGTTGATTGACAATGTGGACAAGATCCGGCTGTTGGATCGGAAACAGGAAGTGCCGCATGAGGGTGCCATGTGCGACTTGCTCTGGTCGGATCCGGATGAGATTGATGGGTGGGGGCTGTCGCCGAGAGGAGCAGGGTTCTTGTTTGGGGCGGATATCGTCAAGGTGTTCAACCACAGAAACGACCTCAGCTTGATTGCGAGGGCGCATCAGTTGGTGATGGAAGGGTTTAAGGAGATGTTTGACGCTAGTATCGTCACGGTGTGGTCGGCCCCAAACTACTGCTACCGATGCGGGAATGTGGCGGCGCTGCTGGAGCTGTCGGAGGATGACTCTGGGCTGGGGGTGTTGGCGAGGAGTAACGGAGATGTGAATAGGAGCGATGGTGGGATGGGCGGGCAGGGGCCGAGGGGGGTGTTAATGGAGAATGACTTGTTGGGGTACAACAGGGCCGGGCCGGCGAGGAGGTATCGGGTTTTCCAAGCTGCTCCGCAGGATTCTAGGGGGATGCCGGCCAAGAAGCCTGTTGCCGACTACTTTTTGTGATTTTGAGTGTGGTGGGCAGTTACTGAGTTGCAGTATGGACAGAGAAGGAAGGATACTGGCTTTTGTTTTTTTCTTGAAGCGATTTGATTGTTTGTGTATTTGGGCGCATTGATTGTATCTATTACTTCATTATGAGTTATACCCCCTACTACGCCTTGCTAAACAGCGGGAAAAATATGAAATGAGCCTTCTTCAGCGTTCATGTATTGTGCGGTTTTCAGCTTGAGACCGAGCCTTTCAGTCGAGTGATGGTCTTCTCAATAGCCTCCTCATCGACATCACAGTTTGACCCAGGGATACACCCCAGCGTCACACGCACTTGGTTCTTGCTGGCGCCTGTGATTAGAGATATTCTGCTCTGGTGTCAGTCCCCATCGTTTACCATCATAGTCCGGGAGCAGCAACTTACAAATCAGTAGCCATGGGGCACCCATTT